TTGCCAGTTTTCAGACTTCTGCATATGTGTATAGACATCCTACTGGTTCTGTTTCTCTGGAGAACCCTAGCTAATACAAATACCAAGAGTTTTGAAATAAAGAATGACTCTATTAGTCAGTTTTCTCCTATATGTCAACATTTCAGTGGTTTACAGCAACAAAAAATATACCTGTTTATTTTTCTTTCTCATCAGTCTGTGGGTCAGTTGTGGTTCGGCTAACTTCAGCTGGACTTGCCTGAGCTCCATTGAGCTAGAGCAGACTCCAAGCTTTGGGTTAGATTTAGGTTTGCTCCACATGTCTTCATCTTTCTCCTAGGAGCAGCAGTTATACAACTACTCAGCACTTGTTATTCTTGTAATGCAGTATGAGAACACAGAAGAATGAGTAGATCATAGAAGCACAGAGGCCTCATCTATAAACCACCACACTAAAAATTCTACCTGCTCCATTGACCAAGCAAGTGCATGGCTAACGTCCATGAGATGGAGAAGTAACACCAGCCATAGTGGGATACAATGCAGATCCCTTGGCAAAGGGCACAGAGGCATAATTCTAATACAGGAAGAGAGTAAAGAATTAGGAACAACAATTCAATCTACTTGAGTGGCCTAGTTAGATATACTTCTGAAAAATAACTGTCAACTGGGGGAAGAGGGAATATAAAGAGGTTATCAGATATAAACCCTTTCTAAAACAAGATGGAAAAGGAAGGAAGCAAGAGAAGGAGGGAGGGATGAGAGAAGAAAAGAGAATTTTGAGTGGAAGTTGTAAAGATTAGCTGCCAAAGGACTAAATATTATGCAATTTCAAAATAAGAATAGGAGTAATGTAGGGCAGTAGTATGTCGGGGGAACTAAGAATTATTGAAGAGCTCTTATATTCAAAACACTGTGCTGGGCAATTTACATACCCTATATAATGTGATCTTTACAACAACACTTAAGATAGATTTGTTCTCAGATAGTAAAGTTCATTTTGAAAGAAAGGAACTGAATTGAGAGACATTTTGGAAATCAAGTTTATAAGACTTGTTGGACTAATTAGATATGATGGTAAAATAGAAAGATGAAAATCAGATTACTCCTAAGATCTACTTGGACAATGGTGTGATGCTTCTGCATTAAGTGAGATGGGAAACAGAGGGAGGGCCAGTTTGCAAGCGGGACGAGATAGATTTCTGACTTGCATTGGTGATAGCTATAGGACATCTATGTGAGATATCCTACAAATAGTTGTAAATTTGTATCTTAGAGCTCATACAGGAGAAGCCAGTTCTGGAGAAACACTCCAGAAATAAAAACAAAAGTGCCACGGTTGGGGTTGGTTGGGTTTGTGAGTTTTTTATCTTATTTTATTTTACCTTTTTTTTTTATTTCTCCCCAAAGCCCCCCAGTACATAGTTGTACATTCTAGTTGTAGATCCTTCTAGTGTGCTATGTGGGATGCTGCCTCAGTATGGCTTGATGAGTGGTGCTAGGTCCGTGCCCAGGATCCCAACCAGCAAAACCCTGGGCTGTTGAAGTGGAGCGCATGACGTTAACCACTTGGCTATGGGGCCAGCCCCGACAAAAGCACTGTAAGCATTGAAAATGCTGTCAGCAAAGATACAAATGTGTCTTCCACACACAATTCATTTTCATGGAAGGGCTAGCAATTTAACGTACGGTTTAGATATACACGTGTCTAAACATATGTGTTAGGGTACACAGAGCAGAGTAGTGTGAGTTTAGGTTGAAAAGATAAGTTTATACCTGATCTCACTTGTCCTAGAATGCTGGCATAGGACATTTGGGCTTTTATCAAAAAGGAGATACTATATGTTTTTGTGCAAGGGTTGACTTAAGAGACTGACTTTTTGGAAGACTGATGTAGCAGCATGATATAAGCTGGACCAAAGGTGGGAAGCCAAATGGAAGGCTGTTGCTTTAGCTTTTGTAAGCTCCAACAAAAACCTAAACAGGGTAATGGCAGTAGGAACAGAAATGAAGGAACAGAGGGAAGAACTACTTTGAAAGAAATTATTGTGCAGCACAGTAACCATTCTGCATATCGTTAAATACGTGTCAAGTTAATTTTGTAACTTCATTTAGTGCTAATGGTTTCTCTCTTCAGGTATGCAGAGCCTTCATAATTTATTGGTCATCTGTTTGCATATTTTTAAATTAAGAGTTATAATTTCCATGAGGGAGAGACTATGACTATTTTGTTCTCTACTATTCCACAACATTCATTGGAATAGGCATTGACTAAATATTTATTGAATGAGTGGCTGGATGAATCTGCCCCTGCACACATCAATGTACCCATTTCCAGGTTCCCTTCACTCTGTCCCCTGTCTCTCGTTCTCCCACCAAATATTTCCCTCCCTCTCACCTCCTTAAGGTTGGTCTGGGAGAGCTTGCCTCACAGGAGTGAACAGATAACTGAGCAGTCTGCATTCAGTGAGGTAGTGATATGGACAATCTTGCCTTCAACAAGCTCAGCTGTTTCCCTCTTTACTATTTTTTAATGTTATCTCAGACATACCCAATAACTTTCCAGTCATGTAAAATATTGAAAACTCACTTCCAATCCATTTAAGCCTCCATTTTTATTTCCTTTGCCCCCCTCCAAGTTTAGGATTCCCCCAAGGGACTGGTACCTCTCTCTCTTTTCTGATTCTAAATTCCCGGGTGCTGAGGCAAGAAGGAGGAACTTGGGGGAAAGGCAAACTTCTTTATACTTACCTGAGTTTGCTTGGCAGAACTCTGATGGTTATCCCCACCACTGCTCATTGGCTACTACTGATCATCAACAACCTCTGTATGGCAAGTGGCCACTGATTGCCCTCTCAAAGGAGTGGTGTGTGAGTGCTTGGGGTGATCTATAGGGACCCCACTGCCCAGTTTTCTGGTATGGGACATCTGACTCTACCCTGACTTGATTCATCAAGACTCCCTAAGCTTTTCCCCAGTGTTCACTGCTGGGGTGGTCAACTTCTTGGATGGCTAAAAGCAAGACCTCCCTGCCAGGCTGTTAATTTTGACTCCAATGAACCTCTCTTCCTTCTTTCTCTTCCTCCAGTTATTTCCTTAAGTCAACTGGGACAGCGAGGGAGTTTCCTGGAGCTGGGGTGATTGTTCAGGGTAGCAGAGTTGGTTCAATCACTTCTAAATAAGTGCTAAAGAATGCACCTAGCCCAAATATTTTCATAACTCTCTATAGAGTATGAAGGTACTTAATAACTTTCAACCTCTGCTTTGCATCGTTGCCTCCAATTTTACACACATATAACATCTGGTTATTTGGGAATGCCACCAAACTTCATTTTGCAAACCCTGAGTTTTCATTTACATTTGTAGCTACTGTGTAATAAACACCTTCTTAAGTGTTATGTGAACAAACATTTAATGAGTAGCTGAAGTGGGTCAATCAATGTAAAAGTGAAATACAGAAGTCTAATGCAGTGCAGACTCTAATGCAAATAATGAATTACACTACAACTTTAAAGTAGAGGACATTTAAACCTCAAAATGGAATATAGGTTGGGAAGTGGAACAATGGGAAAGAGGAAGGGAGGAAAAGTAACTTAAAAATGAAGGAGTGGGGCCAGCCCAGTGCCATAGTGGTTGAGTTCATACACTCTGCTTGGGTGGCCTGGTGTTCACACGTTCAGATCCCAGGCATGGACCTACATACTGCTTATCAAGCCATGCTGTGGCGGCATCCTACATACAAAATAGAGGAAGATTGCCACAGATGTTAGCTCAGCAATAATCTTCCTCCAGCAAAAAGAGGAAGACTGGCAACAGATGGTAGCTCAGGGCCAATCTTCCTCATCAAAAAAAAAAAAAGAAGAAGAAGGAGTAAGGAGAATCTCAAAAGTGAGAACTCTGCATAGTGACAGAAAGTCTAAAATGTTTAAGATTAAAATCTGAATCCCTGGCACGCAGACTAATCTTTTCTCTGTTCACAAGTCAGAATCATATAGATTTCCATTAATATTTATCTCTTTGAATCTGAGTGCAGAGGAAGATCTATGTTGTATTTTGCCCAGTTTTTGCTGTTCCCATCATGAATTTCACTGAAGGATCACATCAGGTTGATGAGATGCCAACTGTCCTTAATAACTGAAGTATTAGACCTATGGTATGGCATGCAAAGCAGCACAAATCTTAGCAGCGAGTTACTTCAAAAACCAAGAATCACAAATTCAACTAAAATTTCAAATAAAAGCTACAGGACTAGAATAATCCATACAAAATTTTAAACCCAGAAGTTTCTCTTGCTTAAATTACTTTCACACTCTAATTTAAACTCAGAAACATTATGTTGCTGTCACACTTCTTTGTTCTCCTAAATTAAAAAAAAAAAAAACTCTGTATATAGCTGACAAAAAATAGGAACCTGTCTGCCAGCAAGTTCTCTCTTCATGTCTAACATACTGTAGAGTCTATGCAGCACACATGGCCTCTAAGCAGCCCAAAGCCTCTTCTTTACTGGCTCTCCACAGAGAGATGTTTCTCCAGCATGTTTGCGCTACCTACGGTACATGTCTTGCATAAGCATGAATTCCTTTGGATGTTTAAGTCATGCAGTATTTTCACATGCTTTGATGTTGTGCATATGAGAATTATCATCTACATTTTGGGAGTGCAGTTCCTTGTGCCTTCAGCATTGAGTTCAATACTGCTCGCCTGCCATCATTTTAAATTCCATTCAACAGAATGCCAATAATGCCTATAACAGAAGTTTGACACATTTAGTTCTCTCAAATATGGAGTTGATTTAGCAGCTAAATTGGAAATTTCTGGGTGCAGTTTTGGAAACTAATTCAGCGTGAAAATTATTAATGCTTTAGAATTGTGCATGAAGCATTTTGGTTGCCCTTATTTTCTTGTCCAGAAAGATCTTTTGTTTCACACCAGATGAATTTCCAAGGAGCAAGATGCATTCTGTTGTTGGAACACAAAGCAAACAGTTTAAATTAATCCTAATGTGATTTTCCTAATTACAGATGAGACCCATTGGCCATGATGGCTACCATCCCACCTCTGTCGCTGAGTGGCTGGATTCCATTGAACTAGGTGACTACACCAAAGCCTTTCTAATTAATGGCTACACATCGATGGACCTGTTGAAAAAAATCTGGGAGGTTGAACTTATTAATGTAAGTTGGTCTCTTAAAGACGTCTTAGCCATTCAACCCTTGGTAAATGAAAGCCCTATTATAGGTGGGTAATTTTTTCTTTCTTTGTAACTGCTTGGATATGCAAGGATTTGCAGATATGCCTTCTGTTTTAAATATATATCTCTCTTGGTTCCTAGTCAACCCCGCAGTCACTGTCTTTTGAAGTTTTGACGTGGAGAACTAAGAGGACTCTCAGGGTGTTTTGCATTATCTAAGAAAATCTTCCAAACATTTTTGGGTTTTCCATTTTAGGAAATTCTGTCAATTTAGGATATGAGCATGATAACAGAGTCTTATTCTGATCTTTGCTTCTATTCATTGTTAAAGATTAAAGTTATCTTTTTTAGTATTCTATCTCTATTATGTTTCCTGTCTCCATTCCTTAACTGCATATACAAACCCCATACTTGAAGAGACTGTTTTTGTTCTTATTAAATAGGCTGCTGTAATATAAAAATGTTCTTTTCCAGAGTTTATATCTAATCTTAAATTGTCTCTGTTTTATTCATATACTTGGCATAGATTTTCTATAAAAACTGGCCCACATATTTTGCCATGTATTCAAGCCCAAAGAGATCAACTAAATCTGCATAAATCATTTTGTTACTGATAATTTTCTAATTTCACTTTTACTACTATTTTATTTCTAATGGCATAAAGGAATGAAAGAGATGAAAAGACAGTGTTTACTGATCATGCCTTCATATTATATTTGGTATCATGAACATTTCTTTTCAAAAGTGAGTAAGAAATCATTTAATCTTTTAGACAGTTTCTTAGATTTAAGTTTTATATTCTAATAACTGGGAAAAAAAAGTATTCATAAACTGAAAGATAAAGCAAATAGATTTCTGCTGGTTCAACAGTGCTCTGTCCTATTCCTTATGGAATTTTGTCTCCAAAAGTCCCGTCTCTACATATTACATGTCGTTAATTATTTTAAATGATGCTTATTAGTAGTAAGTAATTATTCTTTGCTTTTAAAATTCTGTCTTAAAAATAATATATTTTATGGAACATCTCATAAAAACTTTGCTTTAAAAATCACTTTAAACGGACAAATTCTTGGCTCCTTCTTCTAATTTGCCATCAGCTACTCTTAGCTTTCTGTCCTATCCCCTCACAAAAGCTATCACTATTTCAGAAGAAACTCACTGTCTGACTAACAGCCTCTGATTAATTTTGTTCTTGGTCTGTGTGGCAATGGAACTACTTGGAACTGTATTGCTTTTCGGTTGCATCGGAGATTTCAGTTCTCCACTGAGGACTCGACACTCATCTCATGGCTACTCTTAGCCATTTGCTAAAGGTGTACTTTCCACAGATAAACAAACATGCTTCCAATTAAGTTTCATTCTGGTCAATGATATAACTTGACAAATATCTCTATGTAACGTCTTCTAAATAATATTGCTCCCCACTGAAGAACAAACTTGATGGGTAGCACATGAGTCACTCACCTAACTGGCATTAGCAGTAATCCCTCATTGAAAAGAACGGATTCCAATCAAACTCCATTATAAAATGTTTTCATAGAAGCAGGACTATATGTCTCAAAATCCAAATGCTGGGGCTGGTGGTTAAGGTGTGGGCTTGGACCCACCCTTTCCCCAGTGCTGCCGGTACCAGCAGCCGAGAGATCCCTGTTCAGTCACTGTGGCTGGACCTTGTGGATGGCTGCAGTGACTGCAGGGACGGTGATGCCAGAAGGCCTCAGCTTTACTGCTGGGGCTCAGGGACTGAACCACCCCCACCCACAGGGCCATCCAGCCTTGAGCTGGGACAGAAGGATAGCCTTTTCCACTCATGCTGACTCTTCAAGCATTTTTCCTTTAGCTACATTTGTTATCATACACTCTGACTTCAATCTGGAGAGAAGTGCCTGTCACGAGCATTGTATCAGAATTGGAAAACATAGTCACTGTGTTTTAGACCCTGAGGCCAAATTCCTCTGGCCTGGAGTACAACATCTATATGTAACACCAACCTGGTATATTTTCCTTAAAGTAAACTGAGGATTTAAAGTGCCTTGTGACGTCTTTACGAGCAAGTTCATACTCTGCATGAGGAGGCTTTGCAGGTCATTTAACTCCACACATATATTTATTGTAGACAAAAACTGATCTTTACCTTTAGACTTGGAAATCAGACAACAAAATTTTTATGCCCACTAGAGCTGCTACAAGAGAAGTTCATTTGATGGTTTAGAGTTGCTGGGTTTTAAAATGAGAGAAAGGCACAATGTGTGCCTTCTGGCTTACAAAACATTTGACTGGTCTCAAGTTTAAGTTTTTATTTATCCTAACTAATGAGGGAGGGTACCCAAATATAAGATCACCTCATATATAATCTATGGGCCTACTAATTCTATATTGAGTCCACATAATTTACTGTTTTCTAGCCGGAAGGGAAAGTCAAGTCACCTTGATTTAGAGCAAAGCTTTCTAGGGAAATTCACATCCTGAATCTTTGTAACGAGCGGCTAGTTTTAAGGAAACCAAATGGCTCCAATAACTGCTGTTTTACATAAAGTGAAGAGAGAAGTGCGAGTGTAGGCTGTCTTCCATACAGAGGTCTGCTGGTGGAGGGGAGGAGAACAGAGGGTGAGGAGGCTGACTGCTGATATGGTTACAAATAACTTCAGCATCCTAAATAGTATTGATTAAGCCTCCAATTTCACCTGGAATTACATCTGCTACTAGATAAGTAGTAATACATTCTCAGTGAGTATAATGAGTTTATTCAAAGAATTTTCATGAGGAAATGAAAACTATGCAAAGTTGTGACTTCAAAGTACAGATACATGTGAAATTATAATCTTTCAGAAAGTCCCAAAGAGCTTTTTCTTTTTGGAGTGTATTGTTGCCTTTGAAAAACAAGATTACTTGAATAACCTAGTAAGGGTTTTGGTCACAAAGCTACCCAAAGTGTAGGGGTGAGGAAGAGTAGTGAAAACCTCATATCTTAATATCAGTGTTGTCAGCAGTGGAAATCAAGCAAAGGGGAACTCTTAAGACATCAGCTATTGCCAATTTTAGAGGCCCATGTGTGTCTAGACTTGCAGAATGAAGCATAAGCCAATAATTGTTCCCTTTATTTCCTAATCTGTGCTTCATATTCAGATGCTGATGTTTTATCAATAGCTCTATTTTGCCTCTGTGTCTGCCACTGTCATTAATAACATCATTAATACTACTTTCACTTTTGCATTGATGTTTAGTGTTAAGATGTGAATATCTTGGGAGAGATTGTCAGGCAAATTGTTCCCTCTGCAGAAGCTAACTGGATAAACCACTCCCTTGAATTATAGTCCCCTCCAAAGGCTGGTTAAGAGAATTAAAGACTAATTAATAGTGCATACGTACATAAACGTTTTTAACTCAGAAGGTTACTCAGGCCTTGCATTTGGTATTATCAAGTTTGCACAACAGTTCCTACTGCTGTTGACAACCTCAACAGTCCTGCATGGGAGAAATGTTAGATAAAAGGGCTGTGTATTTTCTGCATGAAATATCTAATGGATAATTATGAAATCTCCATGCAATTATCCATTTTCTAGACAAAAAAGTTTTGCAATTATGAAAACAATGCTACTTTACTGTATTTACTACTGTGTACCTACCAAGAAGATTTTGGTAAGACCAAATAAATTTGAACCCTGTCCAATTTATTAATTTTTGAATCTCAGTGTAGAACATATTAATGTCTTCCCATTGACTTTACCATTAATTACCAAGGAAATAAATCTAGCCAAGGCTTATGATATCCTACAGTGTTGATAATAATAAAAGTACCTATTGAATGAACAAAATAAAATTCAGGCTTCAGTGCATTCTTAAATCTCTGCTCATAGTAAAAGAATAGCTTTAAAAATCTAACTACAGTGGTTGGTTGTGTTTTAAATACCTTTGGGTAGAAACAAATAAAATAACTAAGGTAGCAATACCCGTATGTGTCGCATGAAAATCAATGGGACTTATTTTTCTAACAGTAAATTGATTAGATCATTTGCTTCTTGCCTAATTAAGATTGAAACTATACTTATATTATTCTTTTGTTTAGGACTGTCAGATTTCTTTTTATTTTTTCTTCTGCAATATTGTTGATTTAATTTCTAATTTTATGAGGAAATTCTGTGAATATCTAATCACTTAGAGGTGTACTGAGAAATTTTAAAAGGAAACATTCTAATTTTGTTTTAAATCTTTAACAGTGTGAATTTATGCTGCAGGTTAGTCCTATCAGTATCAAATTTAACTCATTCCTGGCTTTGATGTTTTTATTTCATTGTCAGCATTATAAACTCACACTCCTATCTACTCTACTCTCATTGTTATAATTGCAATTAAATTTATTCCTTAGAAGTCTTTTTTGCATTGTGTATGTGAGTGTGAGTGTGTGTGTGTGTGTGTGTGTGTGTGTACATATTGGATAAAGGCAAATGGTAACATACTCCCAACCAAGAAGAATAATCAGTAAAATTCACAAATTGCAGGGGAGGAATAGAGAGGATGAATGTTATAATTCCATCTCCAAACCAATTATTTTAAGTAAAAGGTTATGCCTTCACTATAGGACATTAATAAATGAGGGAAATATTCATATTACCACACCAGGAAGGCTATATCAGTCAACACTTCAAATATTAACAACTTTAATCAAAGCTGAAGACTTTAACTAAATAACTAGATATGAGTATTCAAGTGTAGAGCAAACTTCATAAATTATCTGTAGGTTTAAGCATTTCGTTTATATCCATATACAGTATAGCTCTTCATAAGCCTTCAGGACAGCTCGATACAGCCTCTGAGCTTCAGACATCTTCAGGCTGGCATCAGATAAAGCCCCTGGACTCCCCCACCCCTACTCACTGCATCTAAACTGCAAGCACTTCTAGGGAGTCTCTTGAAGCTCCCCTCACTTGGCCCAAATTTTGGGAAAAGCACCCTTCCTCACATGAGATGGACAATTCTCTCCCA